TACTCTATCTGATCCTACTCTACTCTACCTGATCCTACTCTACTCTACCTGATCCCACTCTACTCTACTTGGCTCTACTCTACTCTACATGACCCTACTCTATTCTTCTTGGCCCTACTCTACTCTACATGACCCTACTCTATTCTTCTTGGCCCTACTCTACTCTACCTGACCCTACTCTACTCTACATGACCCTACTCTACTCTATCTAACCCTAAACTACTCTACTTGGCCCTACTCTACTCTACCTGACCCTATCTACGTGGCCCTACTCTACTCTACTTGGCTCTACTCTACTCTACCTGACTCTACTCTACTTGGCCCTACTCTACTCTACCTGACCCTTCTATACTCCACTCTACTCCACTACTTGGCACTACTCTAATCTACTTCCCTTTCCCATCACACTTTACGATCTGGTGTTGTATCTTAGCAACCTACCCAAACGAACCCTCCAGACCAGAACCTCCCATAAGAACAGTGGGCCTCATTCACGAACGGTTCTTAGGAACAGATGTGTACGTAAATCCTACTTACGCGGTTTTTACGAAGAAAGTGGCATTCACGAATATTTCTCGTAACCAGAATTTCTCTTGGGCAAGTACAAATCCTACGAGTCCTCAGGAGCACTCGTACGCATTCAGTGCCGACATGTTCACACGCTGGGGTTGTCCTCTTTGGTGAAGTTGAATAAAAATACAACATTCCAGTGATATGTCCGTCATATCGATGTATGTATTTATTTATTTGTAGTAATCTTTAGTAGTAATCTTTATTTATATACCGCCTTTTTCACTGCAGATCTGGCCTACTTTTTAATTCATTTTGAAATGAAATGTGCCAACGCTTTATCAAATACATTGGAAATCTTGCCGTGTATTAGTGACCCCTTCCTATTTATAGGGGGCATTTCTTTATCCACGGGCCACAGAACAACGGCATATATACTGCTGCTGCAGGAGGTTACTGGGTCCGCGCTGAGTCTCTGCGCTGGTCTCTCCTATGGATCTATACGGGTCTGCACTGGTCTCTCCCATGGATCTATACTGGTCTGCACTGGTCTCTCCCATGGATCTAGACGGGTCTGCACTGGTCTCCCCCATATACGGGTCTGCACTGGTCTCTCTCCATACGGGTCCGTGCTGCATGCTCCTGGATACATACGGGTCCGCGCTGGTCTCTCAAGTCTGGTCTATGCGGTCTATCTTCGGTCCGCGCTGGTCTCTGCGCACCGGTCTCTCCAGTCAGGTCACTCCAGTCTATGCGGTCTCTCCTATAGGTCCGCGCTGGTTTCTGTGTGCTGGTCACTCCAGTCTCTCCTCGGGTCTGCATTGGTCTCAGCGCTAGTCCGCGCTGGATCTCCTCCCAGGGTCCAAAATATTTTGAGATTAATCTCAAAAAATTTTGAGATTCATCTTTAAAATAATACATAATATATTTTTAAATTAAGCTCATAACATTTTGAGATTAATCTCATCATATTCTTAGATTAATCTCATAATTTTGCTAGTTCGACTTTATTATCATAATATTTCAACTTTTAAGTCAACATTTTATAACTTTATTCTCAGTCTGGTAAAAGAAGAAAAAAGGGTGACTCTTTTGCTCCGTGGCCTGTTGCTTTAGGCCTGTTGCTGTTTCCTCTGCCGTCTGCACACGGCCCTGCATTCCCTTATATGGGCATTAGTGGGCGGTTACTTATGCTAAGTACCTATGCTAATGAAGCACCTGGCACGCGCGCTGTACTTACGAGGAAATGGGATTCATCAATGTGAGAGAACAGCTGCGAACAATTCAGCGCCTTACGAGTGCGTTGATGAATCCCACGTGGGGACTTCTTAGAAATCTACTTAAGGACAACTTGAGAAGAAAGTTGAGTAGTTTCTTACGAAGTTATTCGTGAATGAGGCCCAGTGTCTTCCCCGCAACAGTTGGACTCATCAAGACTTTATAACTCATCACTGTCCCTGCCCTTATGACTGTCTCTTTTCTTTACAGCACTGCCAAAGTCTATCGTGTATACTAACTTGTATAAAGTAGTAATTGTAAGAAATTATGTGTAGATTTTTTTTTTTTATGCATACCTTTCTCTAATTTTTAACTCTTAACTTTAACCTCTTTGCCAAAGCAATCTCCTAGTTTGTAACTTCTTGTTACTCAAATGGCAAAAGAAAGTATTCTGATTTTGATTCTGGAAGCCACGTCCTCCAATACAATGGTGGTATAGAGCCGAGTAGCATAGAGTAGAGTCGGGCCAAGTAGATAGGGTCAGGTAGAGTGGCGTAGGGCCAAGTAGAGTAGAGTAGGGTCAGATAAGAGTAGAGTAGGGTCAGGTAGAGTAGAGTAGGGTCAGGTAGAGTAGAGTAGGGTCAGGTAGAGTAGAGTAGGGTCAGGTAGAGTAGAGTAGGATCAGGTTCGAGTAGAGTAGGGACAAGTAGAATAGAGTAGAGTAGGGCCAATACTTATTGTAATGTGCCAATGGTTTTTGTGCTTGAGTAGACTAGACTTTTCTAAGCAATGACTCAAACCACATTTCAAGCCTTTCTGATCTGACGTGTTAAGACAAAGAAGAAGTGTTTACAGTAAAGACAAGTGTTTTATTCAGATCTCAAATCAAGATTATCTGGGACATTGCTATGGACACACTAAGTTAGACAACAGAAGGCAGGACTGTGCACGGGGCTAAGGTCAGGAGGGCTGTAGTCATATGACGGCCAGTGAGACAAGTGAAATAAAGTGTTGTCCATTTTAATTATATTTATTTATGTTTAGTGCTGAGTGCCCTCCATGTGTTAATGACTGGAGGAAAGAGTAGATTCGTACAGAACCAGGGGGCTTATCACGCAGGCAAAACTAAAGCTGGACACATGACTGGACTTATCTGAGAAAATTCTGACCTCAACCACAGCAGCGCACTTCAAGGTACAGGAATATACTTGATGAACTGAAGAGAGTTATTGCACTAAATATGAGGGAGGAAATCAATGGATGCTTTATAGAAGATGAGTTTATGAAGAAATAATTTAGCCACAAACATGTGGCTTAAAACCTTAAAAGTTTATGGTTTATTTGGTTGGGACAGTACATGTTAATGAACACATCACTCCGGATTACAGCCTTGGGCCATTTTCCATCCGTCGTCCCGCAGTCGCTCTCACAACAGCACATTCATTCACCCTGAACTATTGTTAATATTTTTTTTATTTTTAGTGGTAGGGGAAACTGGAGCACTCGGAGGAGTGCTCCAGTTGAGAAGCGAGAAGCGAGAGTGTTTCCCACTTTGTATATGAAGCTTAATAGAATCCATAGCATCAGTCCATGGATAATGTCCATGGTGCATGTAACATCCAGATTTATTTTATTTTGTAAAGCACTTTCATTAAATTGAGAGTGAGAGTGTCTGCCCTGATGAAGACCCAAGTGGTCAGAAAAAAATGATTTTTACTTTAAAGTCAGTTGTGCCTTTTGGAACTTATTTTTTCCACTTAAATTAAGTTAAATTAAATTAAGTATTTATGTTTGCAACTTATGCAATGCATTGACTTTCATAACCCATATACAATAAAGCAATATTGCAATCATGAGCGTGATAGTTGTTAACAATATTTAAATGTGTAGCGTTGCTTTTGTGTTTTAATAAACAGTCACAATACATAAGGGCTGAAACGATTCATCAATTCATTGCTGCCAAGTTACTTATTTCCATAATCCAACAACTTCAGTAATGGATTAATTAACTTTTATTAGTATTTCAAAATGTTCCCTGCAGGCTTCACGTTAGTTTTATCAGGGTCAAACAGAGGTAAATATGGTATCTGTGTTCTAAACAACTAATCAATTATCAGAAGTGTGTTATCAGTTGGTGACAGCACTCATTCTATAAACTGTATCAAATATTAAACACCAGCCTTTTATAAACTTGTGGGAAAGATGGAAGCAAGAAGCACCAAGAAGAAATGAGGGTATTGTAAACGTGTCTGTGTGTGTCCGTGTGTGTGTTGTCTGTAGGTAGGATTGTGCAAAAGCGACTGGAGCTTGAGTTCTCTAATTCTATTCCATTCATTACTTTATCAATCACCATTACTTTATCAATCAACATTATTTATAACGCACAATTCAACACAAATAGCTTTATTTCATCTTACAATCATATGCAGGTTTGAAATAAGAAAATAATAATACAAGAATCACAGATAGTATGAACGTGTGGAGTAAAAACAAGCTTTAAAAAAAAAAAGTTTTGGCTTATTATTATTTATCAAACACATTCATGAAAAGCCTGAACTCAAATGAGGATTTTCTACTTGCGGGTGGATCATCAAGACTATTGGTCCTCGTAATTGTCAATCATTCTGGTGATACATGCAAATAAGACCAGAGAATTTTGTTCAAAAAGTGGGGAGGGCGGTTCTTTCCTTAAAAAATGGTTAAATCCTCATATATACCTTTAAAGCTGGGGTACCTTACTATAGCTCAACCAGCTCTCAGTATGCACTGTTGAGAGATGATTGGCTGAGCAAGGGTGATCCTCTCTTTTTTCACTTTTCTGATCACTAATCTGATCTAAAGATGTGACAGAGGACTAAAATACATGCGTGTGAAAACTAGTGATTGAACCAAAGTGTTTTAAGGGCGAGGAACCGTTACCAGTTAAGATTGATTTCGTTAGTTCATTTCGTGTGGTTTGAACAATGATGGTCTTTGTCCTTATCAAATGTATCACAGGCTTCTCCTGTAGTGTTGACTAAGAGGGTATTACTGCATGATTCACAAACTTGGCATTATACGCTCGGTGCTGATAGTTCCATTCAACGCGCACTCACGCCGCCCTGCCCTGGAGCCGTGTACCACCACCACCACTGGACTATGCATGCGCGTTCATTTCCCCATCCACACTCAACAATAAAAGAAAAAAGAAAAAAGCAAACCAGACGTCTACATCATATTCACACGCAGAAATATGGTCCAAAGTTTGCAACCCGAATGATAAAAGCACTCACCTCCTTCTGCGCTGTGGTCAATCTGCGTGCGCCCTGGCTGCGTACCGATCCACTCTTTACGCACGGGCTGGAGGAGCAGTGCGAGACGCGGCTGGAGGTGTCCCCTATTCTACAGGCTCAAAGGGCGGCTGTGGTGAGTGGAAGGTGGGAGGAATCTTTCAGCGTGACACAGCAGCTCCGGGAAAGACCGTGCGTGTGTGGTAATGCTGGCGCGCACGCATTCCTCAAACTGAAACTTGTCGCGGTTATATAACTCTCAGGACGCGCGCACGTTGGAGTCGATAGAGGAAACACGTGGTATGATCTCATTTTCATTTGAGATGACTGTGCAGATTCAAACAAGGAAGCTTTGTAACGTATTTCTTTCTCTCTTTTAGAATAAGTCGATTTCTGTGTCACTTGGGGACTGCACTTTGCAAGTCTGCAAAGAGTGTATAGGTTGGAGATACGGAACTATAGACCTAAGCTGAGTAATGCAGTGGGTACCTCAAACATCTATGAAATAAAGCTACAGTTCCTCAGGTCACATAAATGTGTTTTGGGTCCACATATTTTGACAGAAAAGTGAAAAAGAGAGAGCCCCCCTCACTCAGCCAATCAGCTCTCAGCCCAAATCCTCTAAGCAAGAGTGTGGAAGTATAAAAATACTCTTTGCTCAAAGTTTTTGCATGTAATCAAAAGATGATGTTAGTATTAGATAGCAATATGAACATGTTTTATAATTAGATATTTTATGTAGATTATCTTGCCTTTCCTTAATTTTGTTCTATGTTTATTTTAATGTTTTATAAAGTGTATTTGAGTGTCCAAAAAAAGCGCCATACAAGTTTGACGTGTTGTGGTCTGACTTGTTCACAATATTTTACTTTTGAAAAATGTTCTGTGGGTCAAACAAATGCATTATCATCATGAACAAAGTTACGTACCCCAACTTAAAAAAACAAAAACATAGAGCTTTTGAGTTGATTTTCTCATATTAACGCGAGAAAATTCCTGTGTCTGCGTAGGTTTCCTCTGGGTGTTTCGGTTTCCCCTACCACAAAAGAACATGTCCTAGAGTCCATCGTGACCCCGGCCCTCCAGGCCCTCTCGCTCTCTGTAGCCAGGACTCTCCTGAGAAAGAGATTCTGAACTCACTGGAACTTTCCGGATTGAGTATTAATATTGAATGTCTACTTTAAGGTGCCAACATAAAAAGTCATGGCAGCATCGGAGCCAAAATTCCTGTGGTAATGACAACAAGGTACAAAAGGTCTGTGGGCGTGGTCCGTGGCTGAGGAGGAATTGTCTGTGTGCGACGGTAGAATGGAGGAAGAGAAGGACCAGTCTACCACGGAAGACTGTAACTGTCTATGATTATTGTAACACGCATGAATGACAACAAACAACTTGAGAAGGAAAAACAAATACATGATGGTTACAGCTTTTAATATCTATTTTACAGAATAGATTTATTTGTTTTCTTTATGATTTGCAATAAGAACACAAAGCATGTTATAAGTGATGCTGAAGTCGGCAAAGAAATGACAGAAAATATAAATACATGGCTTTTTAACGCTGTGGTCCCTCACTAACTTTTCTATAAATATTATATTTTGTTTGCATCCCCGGGAAAATCCTAAAAAAGTTAAATGTGAACAAATCAAACCACAACATGTTGTCGTCATCGTATTTCTTTTTCCATTTTGTTTTTTCATTGATTTGAGCAGAAATAGTACCATACATAACATTTAACTGTTTCACCATGTTTTGATGGATATACAACTTTATGAGATATGTGTTAGAAAAGATCGGGTGAGTGAGGGCGGTCCTCTCTTTTCCACTTTTCTGTCTGCAAAAGTTGATCTAAACATGTGACAGAGGCCAAAAAACTAGTGTTAGAACCATTTCGAGAGCCTGCACTAGTTGCATTTTATGACTCATAGTTCCAATAATTATGGTTTTAAAGCAAGGTTGACGCGGACATCCAGACCTGAGAAGTGTACAAAAAATCTAAAATAACAGATGAAAAAATGGAGATGGCAGCTTGAGCTTGAGCCAAGGAATTCTTTTTTTTTGCACCACAAGATGTGATGTTTCAGGGAAAAACTACCCCCCATCAGACATGAAAGTTAGGAACCCCAGCTTTACACAAACTGGCAACGATGAATCTATGGCTATACTTTTGAGGGCAAAATCTAAAGGCAGTGGTGCAACAGTGCATGTTTCACCGGCGTGTTGGGCCCATGCCAAGAACACGCAAACCCAAATACCTCTGGGCGTGGTCTCTGCTGCGCTTCTCGTCTGGGTCACATCAGGTCACTTTTTAGGCCTGAGCCCCGAACGGGGTATGGGCCTATTGCTTTCACAATGGTGAATGCAAGGGGTGGCGGTGCGTGACGGACGCGTCAGCGCCCGTCACTCACCACAACGTGACGGTTGTGTGCGAAACTTCAAACGCTTTAAAATGATGTATCACGTGCCATTGATACCTATATTGTTTTTGCTCGAGACGTCAAAAAAAAATCCTTATTTCTTTCTTTTTTCTTCTGCGACGTTTGCCTTAATTTTACCCACTGAACATGCATGAAAAGTTGTTACATTTTGCCCAAAAATCAGACCTGGCAAAAACTTGATTATTTTGGTGTTTATTTTCATGGGACTCAAAAAATGCCAGAACAGCGCCATCTACAACAGCCAAAATAATACCCCTATGGGAGTTTTGGAGATCAAGTTTGTCGTAGAGCCATGACATTCTCTATGAGTCGCGCGGTGCGGCGAGGGCCGTTCGACGCCGCTTGCGGCTTTAATGTTTTCTTTTTTTTGCTATAGGGCTAAATCGTGTGGGCAAAGCATCTCACTGCAATTTTTTGGCTAGACTTTGTGATTAGATCTGCTTTTTACTTTGGTCCATATAAATGCTGTTTTGGAGTTTGCAGTATACATTAGTGTTATGATGTAATTGTTTTTCAGCAGTACATACATCTGTAATTACATAACAGGTTTGGTTTTTCATGTCAGACTGAGTTACATTCCAGGCAAAGGGACACACATCTCCAACAGCTACACCACATCTGCTGCTTCCTCCTTTTATTACTATTGTTAGTTACTTTAAGAAATATGTTTTAATTTGGATGTGTTTCTGAGGCAGGACACCTGCATTTCTCCTCTCTATCTATCTATCTATCTATCTATCTATCTATCTATCTATCTATCTATCTATCTATCCCTCTCTTGCTATCTATGTCTACAGCGAGAGTTGTACAATGCACCTTCATTTCATTTGTATAAGGGTTACATGACCATTTTTCAAGCAAGAATGAAATGATCGTGGGGTATATGATAATATTAGATCAAATATATTTGTTCCACAGTGAAGAAATGTCAGTGTTGCCGTAAGAAGAGCTGTAGGGAATAACTAATATCTTTGTGCTGAAGAAGGAAATCCTAGTCGAATTATAAAATGACACTAGGAATCCCGGAAATCTGAAACCACTCGAACGCCCAGAAAGCTGTTATTTTGACTGCTCCCATTCAAACCAATGACATTATGAGAAATTCTCCCAAACATGTTTAGTTTTCCTTCAGATTTATCAAAAGTAAAGTAAGGTTTTCACATTTACTCACTGAGTCACTGTTGATGAGTGAAATGAGTAAATGTAAAATAATTTGAAATACAGCAAAAAACAGTCGCAAATCTAAATGCTAACTGCTGCAAGTAAGCAGTGGGTTGCTATGGTAACTAGTCCTTTTCCTTTGTGGAATTATTAGGGCTGTTCTAGGAGTAGAACTCGCATTTTCAAAAGTAAAAACAAATTTTATGGCAAGAATTACAAAGATATGAAATACATAGAAACAGTAGAAGTCACAAAGTTAGCAAGAGCAAAAAGCTACATACGCTGAGTAATTACACTTTGAAAACTAACGTCAATAGGACTGCTCTGGGGGTTCTAGTGTTAACAAGGTTCAACTTCTAAGTAGAGCAGCAGCAAGAAGAAATGGGAGCGGGACAAAAAAGATTTATCGCAAGTAATTTAACAAAAACAACAATTTAACTAAAACAGGCCTTTTTGCAGCTGAATAAAGTGCCAAATATGAATCCAGTAACAACTCGCTAAACCGTTACTACTGATCGCTTACCTTTTTTGTTTTGCAGCTTGCTAAGTGCACGTGTCTCCTGCAGGTGAAACAAAAACCTGGGGCCAAAGAGCAATTACCGTCTGCGGTCATCCTTTTTTGTAATCTTCCCTTTCCGTCCATCCCCAAAAGCACTCAATGGGATTTAGATCAAGGGAACGTCCAAAAGAGTGATGCTGTTGTTCTGAAGAAGTGCCTTCCTGTTCTGTGGCAGTTGTTACAGACGAGGGCCTCAGTGGTGAGGAGTGCTCTCTGAACATCTCATCCCTCACCTAAACATTTTTTCCAGAACCAATAACGGCCTTCATTTGGTGCCAGAATCGTCTATTGTCTTGATGACATGCCCTTTAGATCCTGATGTCATAATTTTGGGTCTTCCACTCCACTGTTTTTTCCCCCATAACCCTCAGGATCATTTAATTCCAAATGTATTACTGCTTTCGAACCAGTGAGGGCGGGTCGCGGCTCAAAAACGACAATGAGCACGTGCGCTGACATACTTGCAATACCACCCCGAATTGAAGGTATTTTGGATAAAACCAAAACTGGGCCGTTTAAAAAGTTAAAACATATTTTTTAATATACTTCTAATGTTGTGTGCAGGATGAATTAAACACAGTTGTTTATCTGAGAAAAAAGATGCATAACATGCCATGGTCGTCCATAACATGTTGCTCAAGTTTTTATTGATCATTAGAAATCATGTTGGGGTCACTAAAAATAGTTTTGAAGGCCGGATTAAGCCCACAGGCCTACATTGACATGATCTGCATCCTCTCCTTTTAGTTAGTGTCAAAATGTAAAATCAATCTAGCATGTTTCATAAAACAAATAAAAGCAACTGTACAGCTACGGCATATAATAATGTACGTTTATATCAGAATGATCCACATTTGTTTTTGTTTCATATTTAAATAACGGCTTCATTGTTTTGTAGCAGCTTTGGTTGTTTTGCATGAAGTTGAAATAGTATGTGGTTGGATTCTATGGGTTGGATAGCAGTGGGGATTTCAGAGTCATATTTCCAGTGATGGCTGTTCACGTATTCTCAGAATTAGGACAGACTAAAGAGCAGATTCAATGAATGGACAGTGGCCACATTGTG